GGCCCAGGCTACTATTGCAAATATTTTATCCAAGCTTGGCAAAGATTTAAAGGGCTTGAAACACTGATATTGTTTATCCGACACTGTTCACATATGTCCCGGAAGGTATACACCGCCTTTAAGTATGTTTAGGATCTTACCTTTCTTTTTGGGTTATTTAGGATGGATGGGCAGATATGTTTCTGAAAATAATGAAATGGGGGATACCTTATCTTCCTGTTCTTTTACCAATCATTTCAGTTCCAGTACCTGCTTACAGCACATTACATACAATCCATCACACATCCACATAGAAGGATCAAAACACACTTTACTTGTTTCATTTCACCGGCAAGTTGGGAAATGTTCCTTTGTGGTAACAAGCATCTCCAGTTGCAAAAAAAAACTTATCAAGGCAAAGCAACATGCTTACCTTAAAGTGTCACTAAACCCAGGACCCTGCATTCACTATATCTGGTCTCCCACAGTACACACAACATGGAAGTGCAATTATTTTAGTAAGTATAAACTGCTCATCTCATCAGCAGTTAGAGCAGTCTTATGATTTGATGAGAACTGGTTAAAGCATGTAAGAGGAATTTTCTTTCTGCTCTAGGATGCAAAACCCCTGATTGGCCCTGTGCTGATCACATGCACACATGAAAAAAAAAAAACCCGCTCTAGCAATACACACTAAACTGAGCATGTACAGAAGGGCTATGGGTTCAGTCTGTCTTATCAGCCTGGATATTTGAACAAGAGAAGGGGCAGAGAAGTCAGGATTAAACAGCCTTTTTTACACAATGGAAAGGATTAACCCCTTAGGTTCCACAGTGAGTATAACAAGCATGCTTTACTGCATATACAGACTGATTTTACTGTTGTGGGTTCAGTAATACTTTAATATACTTACCTTTCTTTGGCTCCCCTGCTTCTCTGTTCCTCCACCAGGAGAGAAAGAAAGTCCTGTGGTAACAATGTGTTGTTGGATTTGGACGTCTGTATGACAGCGCTAATTGAGACAGTGCTATCACATATCGGGGAGTACCATGCCTGGGACTGAAAAAAATATTAGAGGAGCAAAGAAAGCACAGCATATACTTAAGAGGATAAGGGGAATCAATGTAAATGTGTACTTTGCCCATTCAATAGATATTGGATGACCTGGCTTTTTAAATTATAGAAAAAAATAATAAAAGATAATCAACATGTGGTACTGGAATGAGTTCAGTAAAAATAAAACTGCAACCTGATCTGCATATTATCATAGGTATATATCTAGGAGATTTAATTAGATTTTAAATATTGAGTTGTCATTGGAGTAGGCCATAATCGTGATACAATTTTTTCCTTATGAATCAGAGAGAATGCAAAGATATATTGAAATAGTACTAATGCGCACCCAGATATATGCTGCACAAAAATTAACATACAGACAAAGAACATCATTTTAATTTATTTTATAGAAAAAGCTTTGAAACAACAATATGCTTAGAATAATTAAACAGAATACAACATCATCTAGAGAACAAAAGAGCTGTTACAAAGTGAAAACACTAAAAATAGTTAACATTTTGTGTCTTAAAATATCAGTTTTCCTGAAATACAGTGTTTTATATCCCACAGTAAGAATATTTCAGTAATGTTTTGGTAATATAATACTTTGCAATCAAAATCATTACAGTTGCAAAATATATGTAATTTTCTTGCAGAAAAATAAATGTAAACTGAACTGTGACAGTTGTTTTTTTAAATGTTTATTCCACAGAATTCAGCATTGTAACAATGTGAACAAACTTTAGCATTCTTAAAATCCTATGGTACAATTTTACAAAAATACAGTAGAATTTATTTCATGGAGTTCTTACAAGTTCAATTTACAATATAGTACAGTTTGAAATAATTACAGATATAATGATTAGTTAAAACAAGTGGCTATAGTTAGTTTAATAAAGTCTATTGGAGTCATTGTTGCATATTTGCAATTCACATTTAAAGAAAGTATTCATGGCAAATCGGATCAGACAGATTACTTAGCTTGCTGCTGCCCCAGGACTGATTATCACTGTACTGGCACAGTAGAGAAAAGGAAGGATAGATATACTTGTCTATGGTGAGTTGTTGAAGATTTTCCATAAATTAAATAGCCATCATATCCTATACAGGTGTAAACATACTTAAATATAAAGAGACTTTTAGTTTTGCATTGATATTTAGATAGAACAATTGGATTTGGCTAGATTAGTGCTTGGACCAGGGGAAAACATTTTTTAAACACTTTTTTAATTGACACAAGCCTTTTGGTTTCCATATTTAAGAAAGAAAAATTAAGGAGAACTCCAGCTTAAAGTGTTATGTGGTGGGGAAGTAAGGAGTGAAGTATTTATTGGATTCTTCGTCTTGCTACTAAGCAGGTGTGAATCATCTTTGCCCCATATGAATGATGACAGATTTGTAACCAATGCAAAGTAATATGTCTTACTACATGGAATGAATTACCTGTGATAGGTGCTTATAGAAAGTGCTCTCATATCTTTGCAGCCTCTCTATTTATATTAATTTTTGTTTTAACCCATGGTGGTCAGCTAATCCAGTGTACCAAATGTCCAGTCCTAGGTAATTCTTCTATGGCCTAACATTTGCAGTGTAATCTATGTGTTACCTAAATGTCTTATATTGGCTGCTTATATTCATACTGGACAGCCTGAAAGTTCTGTATCTTGGGAGATGGCCAAATCCAACTGATGTGGGCCTCATACCTTGTGGAAGACAGAAAAATTGATTGAAGAGAGGGAAGCCTAGAAGTCAGAAATCATCTCTCTCTGCCCTTAATTGGACCGTATGTGGGTACTTTAGGACTTTTTTGAAGAAAGTGTTGGTCTGACACTCAAAGCAGTGTGTAGGAGAAGTCAGGGGGACTGATTTCTTAAAACTGAAGAAGAGCAGATGAGAACAAATGTGGAGTTGTTGTCTATAGCAACCAATATACATTCTTGTAACAACTTATCAATTGCTATTGGCAACACCTACAGTTGTCTTCTCATTTTCTTTACTGCAATTTTATTGAATCAACCCCAAGGTGTTAGAGACAGGAACTTTACATTGCCAGATCATGAGACTTTCATCACAAAAATAGGGTAGAGTACCATTTCTTCCTCTTTTTTCTTCCCTTTACATAAACGATTTCCTTGGAATTCACCTTTAATTTATATTTTAGCTTTTGTTTTTAAGCTATCAGTGCTAATGAATATACTCAGCTCCCCCATGTGGTTGAATTTCTGTTGTTCCCCATCCAATAACATTCCCTCGACTGTTACAGCCAAATTCTCCTGCAGTGTTTACAATGTCTTCATCATCGAGGACAGAATCCCACAGATTAAAGCCTGTTATCTTCCCAGAGAATGATAATGATGTATCAAAACCTCCTCCAACACAGCAGCCCATTTTTCTCTTGACCAAGCTGGAATAAACCTTTATCAGGGATGACATAACCCTGGGCCAGTTCATAAGTAACAATTTTGTTTTCCCCATTGACCCATAGTGTTGTTTTGCCATCTTCAGAGTTCCATGTACCACACAAGTGATGCCACTCTCCTAATTCGATCGTATTGTTTGCAGATATCTTGTTCTTATTCCCGCCCACAACCAGCACAGGGGATCCATGGTTCAAATACAGCTGGATTTCATAGGGGGTACGTTTGGTGCCATAGGAGATGACAATGGTTTTTTCTAAAGCTTCTGTTACTTTAGTCCACACACAAACTGTAAAGGCATTGAGGGACATCTCTGCAGGGTGCACACTTGCATATATTTTGGGTGATCTCATTGGAAATACAATGGCTCCGTCACAGCCTGAAAGAAATAAGAAAAAAGACACATGTTGTGATGTTAGTAGATATATTGTGTTCTCAAAATCAAGTATAACTATTACTTGGGAATTGGCCACTGTTCCACCGTCTGCACAAACTGCCAAGTACAAGTACATGCCTGCCAGATCATTGCTGTTTTCCTCTCTTATTCTTGTATCAAGTCAAAGAAAATTGTAGTTGAATACATCTGTTTTCTATGTGAGGATTTATTATTATGACATATTTGGATTTACGAAGTGGCTACAAAAGTGGACAAAGAGACAACCTATTTGTAGCCAAAACTTCTGTTTTTGTTCGTACAAGTGACAAGTGTCAGCTCCTATATTAAATTCTATTTATATAATTTACATATTTATATTTATAATTGTATCCTTACAAAGGAAATATTACATAAACACATGAAATTAAAGGTAAACAGTATACTGTCTGTGCCCAGACTACGGTAAAATAGGTTTAAAACAGGTCCTCATTGATCTCTGTAGCTGCATGCTGTTGAGTAATTCATCCTCAAATTTTTATTTGTGTCTGTGCCCCAGTGGGGAGATTCACCCTCTCTATTTGTTCCACTTATTTTCATCAGTGAAAGTTAGAAAAAATCCCAATTGTTGAATTGTCACCAGAACAGGAATAAAGGTGGAAATTTTCTAATGGAGACACTAGTTTTGGTGACCCTGGTAACAACCAGGGATTCCCTCACTTGAAGGGATTTCCTCTTACTTATTGTGTTGGCTATGAGACAGGAAGTGAAGGGAAAAAAACCTGACAGGGTTATAACCGTCCCGCACTGTATGCAAAATTAAAAAAAAAAATTCCCTTTAGTTAGTTATACTTAATGATTTGAAAATGTTTGATTAGCTTGAATATTAGCATTTACAACTATCTGATCTTTAGAATAGAAGTCAGTTCCAGGCAAGTATGATTCAAGACATGTACTGTATATTTCTGCTCTGAATGGACAAATGTATTTTCATATATTCAGGAGAAGAGGGGCTTTGTATTCATCTAAGTTGCAAATTGTTTCCTTATCACTGTTAATTATATGCTTTGCTGCTGTGTGCTGTTAATAGGATGCCAAAGGCATGCACCTACAAGCGCCGTATAATCAATATAGCCCTAGCAACATGCATCACACCTTGACAGTATGTATGTCACCACCAGGGGTGGACTGACAACTCATGGGGCCCCCGGGCAATAGGGGATCATGGGGCCCCTGTGTCCTTGCCCAAACTCAAAAAAGCCTATGAAAAAGGTACCAGGGGCATCTCATGGGGCCCCCTACTGACCCCGGGCCCTCGGGCAGTGCCCGAGTTTCCAAATGGTCAGTCCGCCCCTGGTCACCACAGGGAATAATGATCTTTATGGCAAGCATTCATTACTATTGTTATTAGCCATTATAGTGAAAAGCTAAATACAAACTGAATATAAATGCTTTAACTTTGTTGCAACCAAGGGTCACTGAAAACTGATGATTGTCGTATTTCATTGTGACACATGCACACTGGCATGTTGAGATGTGCAAGTTACATAGAGTTAACCTTTAAACACAATTTCTGTAGGAATTTTAGGGCTTTGATGAAAAAGGATTATTTAACACTTGTGGAACTCTAGTGTGCTGAAAGGTTAAAATGTAACTGCATAGTAGAGCCATATGCCATTGGAATGATACTTCACTGTATAAAGGTTTCACTGAAGTTTCATGTTTCTTAAGGCTCTAATCTTAAACACTTACTAGTGTTCAAACAAAGATAACCACACTCCAAAAGAAATTAAAAGCTTACGGAGTGAAAGCTAAAGTGCAGGGGAGCATTACTTTGTCATAATTAATAAAATAGCACTCCATTAATGAAGCCTGCAGGGGGCCAACTCCAGGGAATGCGGCTGACTCATTTCCTGTGCCTAGAGCCAGTGTGGCTTTAAATTATCCATGCTCATAGTTGGAACAAATGAAAGACTCCACATTCACTCAATTTCTGAAAACACATGACTTGTTCCATTTAATTGTTTAGATAAAACTTACTGAATATTTCTTTTTCTCCCACTTTTGGTCACTTTGTTATAAAAAAAAATATCAGAAACACCGTCTGATATAGTCTATTGCATTAACAGACGATTGACTTGACTGTCAAGGGCTTGGTAAAATTAAAAACAGTTCTGAAAAAGACCAATAACAGTGTGATTAGAAACTCCCTTAAGAGCCTCACTGGCTCGTCTCCAGACTTTGTGTGAAATCAAAACCAGTTGCAAAGGTTTCTTTGAAAGCCTCTCTGCAGTGCCTGAGTAACATATAGATACATCCTCTATGCTTGCTGGTCTGACACATACATGTAGCACATTGTGTGGGTTTTTAACTGTAAATGTGTGCATATGTAGTTTAGGTCATGAAGGCTGTTAGCAGTATTTACAGTATATAACAGCATTTCAGGATGCAGTTGTCTACTGGGGCACACAGGATTGATTTGCTTGGCTCCACGCTTTTTTTAGGTGAGGTTTCTGATGAAACTGATGATATGTAAATGCATTTTTTTTTTAAAGAAGATCCCCAGATTTGTTATGTGCATGCATGTTAAAGCAGTTCTTCAGCCTTTTGAATTACAATTTAAAGTCAGCAGCTACAAATACCATAGCCGCTGAATTTTAATAAACGGAAACTCACCTGTCTAGGGGTCCAGCGTTGTGCTTACCAGAACTGCTTCTTCGTGTCTTCGGATCCCCGGCGCCGGCAAGTTTACTGTGGAAAGTCACTATAATTCCTTGAGGCTTCACTGCCAGCTGCCCACTGTGTTGCACATTGTGAATAGCTTCGAATCCTTCCGGGACCTGTGATGTTTCCCAGAAGGATGCGGCAGGGGGAGAACTTCTGGTTGATCACCGCAGCAATTCAATCAGAAGGGAGAGTAAGTACCTGTCAAAACCAGGTACCCGCAGCGCAGCCCCCCCCCCCCCCCCCAAAAAAAAGAGTGCCAAACACAGAAGAGGAGGGGGAAAGAAGGCAAAAAGCGGAACTTTCATTTTAGGGTGAAGTTCCGCTTTAACTAATGTGGAAATGATAAGACAAGAATCTATTACTTTTACCAGTGCTATTCCCAACAATAACTTTATTCTCTTTCTCTCCTGAAGGCTGGTTGCCTCTTTGTTGAAGCATCATCCAGCATCAGCATCTACCTCTTGGGTGGCCCTGAATGAGCTTGTACCAACTTTACTGCTGTTATTCTATCTCCAAGTCTTTAAAGGATAAGTTCACCTTTGGAACATGTACATGTTCCACCCACTGCCCCCCACCCCCTCTCTCTGACAGATAGTACTGGAAGAAGTTTCCCCATGCTATCTGTCAAATTTGAAAACAGCGCGGCCATGCGGGGACCCTCCCACACGGCCACGTCATTCATTCATGGATTTCCATGAATGATTGAACTGCAAGTCATGACAGCCTTAGGGGCTGTGGGCTTGTAGTTTTCAATGAACTACCACGGCACTATGGAGTGCCATGGTAGTTCATTGAACCTTCCTGTCAGAATATCTGCTTGACTGTACATTCTGTACAACTAGCAGATATCCTGACAGGTCTGTAGAAGACCTACATGGCATCAGCGATCTACCGATTGCTGGTGCAATGCTTTCCAGGCTCCTGTAGACAAAAAGGAATTTATCCTTTACATCAAGAGCTTGTAGGTGCCACTGCACATCTTGTGCTTACCTTCAGAGTGCCATGAAAGCCCCAGAATCTGTTATAAATGTTACAGTCAGCTCAGAAATGATGCACTTATTGAACAGGTTGAATCACACAGGTCAGCTTTTTGCCTTATGACTGTGACAAATAAAATACAGTATCACAATAGTCCCTGTACATGATCACTAAGAAGGGAAGACTGAGGAAATGCTTCTCCAATCTGCAGCAGACTAATTAAATCATTCTCTGATAATGTTCCTCTCAAGCCTAGTCATAGCCTGGTGTTCAAAGAATACTTGGTAACGACTTTGGTGAGATTTGCAGTTGCCATGTATTGTAACAGGGTTGAACTGTATTCATGCAGACTTGTAAAATTACTGATAGATTTGCTTAAACCCAAAACTGTTTGTGGCACTAGTAATTATTCTCCAGCTTCTAATACTTCTCAGGGACCCCATTACCAAACTTTCTCTGCAGGAGTTTGACTTTACTCTTCTTCAAACATGACCACAATTAGGGAGTCACTGTCTTGCTGCCTTTTTCTATATCTATGCCATAATATGCAGATTCTAGGTTGAGACTGAGCTCTAGCTGATCTCATGAATAGGTCAATAGAGAAGAACAGGAAGTTGTACAAAGTGGGCCACAACTCAAATTTCTGAGCTCAGGTTGGAATTTTGTATAACAGTTTTTGGGCCTTCATGGTACTGTGAAGGTAAAGTCCTGGAGACAGATTAATAGCATTAAAGTTGCAATAGGCACAGCCAGGGCTGTCCACCTTTGGGCCTCAAGGCGTTAAGGTGGGTTGAGGCTGGGATCCTATGTCTAGACAAGCCTTAAAGTGTTACTAAACCCAGGACCCTGCATTCACTATATCTGGAACAGGAAACATGGAAATTCAATTATTGTAGTAAATATAAACTGCTAAATATCTTTTTTCATCAGTATATAGCAGTCTTGTGTGTTGATCACATGTACCCTCCCAAAAAAGAAAGAAAAAACTCTCTAGCCATACACACTAAACTAAGCATGTGCAGAGCGACTCCTAAAGCTCTGTACTATCTGCAGATGGATTGGGGACAGTAGAAGAAGGGGAGGATCAGAGAAGACAGGATCCAACAGACATTTTACACAGTGTGGAGGATTAACCCCTTAGGTCCCACAGTGAGTATAACAAGCATGCTTTACTGCATATACAGACTGATTTTACTGTTGTAAGTTTAGTAACACGTTAAATCAGTATTTACTAGTATATAAAATTGTGCTAAACATAATCCAGTTACTAGGGCAAAAACAGTCTATTTTTTACACTGTAATGATGCAGTACCTTGGAGACAAGCATAAGTAATCTCTCAAAAGTGAAGAGAAAATCCCTCTTATTCCACAGTCACACCGGTGCACATGACAAGTTGCACCCTATTGTCCGCAATAGAAGCAGTCAAATCAGTACGACCCCTATTCCGTCAGAGTTGCACTGATTTTGAAAGTAGTTCGTGCACTACTTTTTGCAAGTTCAGGTGCTACTTGCATAGACATCTGTTCATCAAGTCACACAGATGTCTCCCTAGTTGCATCTGAAGTTGCATTGACATCCAACTTTGAAATTGTGTGAATTCATGTGAAGTCATACAATTTCAAAGTCAGATTTGGTGTGTTGGATTGCCAGATTGGTGTGACAGTTGTCACTTGGAAGACCCCCCCCCATTTCTGTTCCAGTGTAAACTGTAGATTTAGGATTCATTTTCTGTCTTGGTGTCAATGATCTCCAGTTGACAGCAATAAAAGCCTGGCAGGTCAATCTAACATGTATTTACTTTATCCAAAACAAACATGTTATACTTACCTGCTCTGTGCACTGGTTTTGCACAGAGCAGCCCTGATCCTCCTCTTCTCTGGTCCCCACTGGCTCTCCTGACTCCTCCCTCCTGTCAGGTGCCCCCACAGCAATCAGCTTGCAGTGGGGGCACCCGAGCAGGCACGCTCCTGAGCCACAGCTCTGCATGTCCATTCACACACAGAGTTGCAGCTCGGTCTCACCCCCTCCCTCTCCTGATTGGCTCACGGGCTGTGATTGGAGACATTGGCTGCCTCAGCCAATCAGAAGTGAGAGTCCCCAGAGAACCTAGGCTTCTGGACATTGCTGGACCGGAATGTGATAGAATAGACTGCATGAAGGAAAGAGACCTGGAGCCTTTAGAACCACGTTAAAAGGGGTTAAGAGGGTAGACATAGGGGTTCAATTAAAATGTAAGACTCAGGTGAGATAGTATGTATGTGTTACTGTCACAGAACATTTTCTAGGTCATCTAAGGGGTTATTTGTTTCCAGATTTATTTTTTGGTAGGTTGTTTATAGTCATTCCTTCTTACTGTGCTTCTTGAGAAGACAAAGGCCCTGAAAAGTGGTAAATGACTCCTTAAGAAATGTAGAATATAATACTATAACACAATAAGGCAACTTTTAGGTTAGAAACCAGAAGTAGAAAGGTGTTAACGATATGAGAAAAAGCTCCTTATTTTGTTTGGTTATCCTGTATTCCCATACAAAGTCTCTGAACAAGAGTTGCTTCATACATCTGATGGTGGCTGGAACTAAATGTTTATGTTTAACTGTTCATTTAAATTATTTTGATGCTAACCAGGTTACCTGTTAAAGTGCTGCCTGTGTCCCCATTGGGTGGACTC